AACCTATTGTAGATACACAAAAGATAATGAGAGGAAAAAAATAAACATAACACTAAAGAAAATCATTAAAGCACAAGGAAAAGAGCAGAATAAAGGAACAGACAGGAAATACAAAAATAGCTGGAAAGCAATTAACAAAATGGCAAGAAGTACATACCTATCAATAATTACTTTAAATGTAAATGGGCTAAATTCTCTAATCAAAAGACAGCAGCTGAATGGATTTAAAAAATAAGACTCATTTGTATACTGCTTAAAAGAGGCTCTTCAGAAGTAAGGACACGCATAGACTGAAAGGGAAGAGATGAAAACAAATATTCCATGTAAATGAAAATGAAGAGAAAGCTGGAAAATGAAGATAGCTATACTTATATAAGAAAAATACAGACTTTACAACAAAGACTGTAAAAGACTAAGGGCATTACCTAATGAAAAAGCAGTCAATCCAACAAGAGGATGTAAAAATTATATTTATGCACCCAACATAAGAGCACCTATGTATAAAACAAATATTAACAGATCTAAAGGGAGAAATTGTCTGCAACAATAACAGCAGTGGACTTTAACACCCCACTTACATCAATGGATAGATCATCCAGATAGAACATCAATAAGGAAAGATTGGCCTTAAACAACACATTAGACCAGATCAACTTAATAGGTGAATACAGAACATTCAATCCAAAAGCAGCAGAATACATATGATTCTGAAGTGCACATGAAACATTCTCCAGGATAGATCACACGTTAGGCCACAAAACAAGTCTCAATAGATTTAAGAGGACTGTAATTCTATCAAGCATCTTTTCTGATCATAATGGCATGAAACTAAAAATCAATTAAAAGAAGAAAACTGAAAAAAATCACAAATATGTAGAAATTGAACAACATGCTACTGAACAATGGGTCAACAAAAAAAATCAAAGAGGAAATCAGAAAATACCTTGAGACAAATGAAAATGTAACTGTAACAATTCAAAATCCATGGAATGCAGCAAAATATGTTCTAATAGGGAAGTTCATAGTAATACAAGCCTACCTCAAGAAGAAAAATCTCAAATAAATGAACTTTATATCTCAAAGAACTAGAAAAGAATAATAAAGCCCAGTTAGTAGAAAGAAGGAAATAAGATGACAGCAGAAATAAATGAAATAGAAAATAAAAATAAAATTTAAAAATCAATGAAACTAAGAGTTGGTTCTCTGAAAGGAAAAACAAAATTGACAAACCTTTAGCTAGACTCACCAAAAAGAGAAGGATCAAACAAGTAAAACTAGAAAGAGAGGTTATAACTTATACTACAGAAATATAAAGGATCATGAGACTTCTATGAACAATTATATGCCAATGAACTGGACAACATAGAAGACATGGATAAATTCTTAGAAACAGATAATCTTCCAACACAGAATCATGAAGAAAGAGAAAATTGGAATAGACAAATTACTAGTAAGGAGGTTGAATCAGTAATCAAAAACACATCAACAAACAAAAGCCCAGGAACAGATGGCTTCACTGGTGAATTCTACAAAACATTTAAAGAGTCAATACCTATCCTTCTCAAACTTTTCCAAAAACACTGAAGAGGAGGGTATGCTTCTAAACTCATTTTATAAGGCCAGCATTACCCTAATACCAAAACCAGGTAAGAATACCACAAAAAAGAGAAAATTACAAGCCAATGTCCTTGATGAATATAGATACAAAAATTCTCAATATTAGCAAACCAAATTCAACAATACATTGAAAGAATCATACACTATAATCACTGACCTTCTAGGAAGAACGCTGCCTTAGGCTGCTGTAACAGGATATCCTAACATGGGCGATTTAAACAACAAATAATTCCTACAGTTCTGAAGACTGGGGAGTCCAAATTCAATGTGCTCATGGTGTCTGGTGAGAAGGCCCTTTTCCAGTTGTACCTTCTTGCTATAATCCTAACATGGTGAAGAGAGTGATCATCTCTCCTGTATCTCTTCTTATAAGGGCACTAATTCCATTCATAAGGGCTCCACCTTCATCACCTAGTTACTTCCGAAAGGCCTCACCTCCAAATATCATCACACTGGGGATTAGGGCTTCAACATAAGAATTTTGCCAGGGGTGTCACATTCAGTCTCTACCAAATCCTTACTGTAGAAAGAACCAACTGAAAGCCTCTGATCTTCTTTCTCTGGCTAAAACAGTAAATGAGAAACTATTTAAGCAAAGAACTGCAGACATTAATGCCATCTTTAAAGATTTTAAGGATGTGGACAGAATCTCTATATCCCCACTGAATTCACCTCTCTGGGCCTTGCAGAAATTAAATGGAAAAAGTTCTAGAGAAGGATGGATGGAAATGGTTACACAACAATGTGAATGTACTTAATGCCACTGAATTGTACACATAAAGACTGTAAAAATAATGAATTTCATGCTGTGTATTTTTTTTTTTTTACCACAAATAAAAAACAAACTAGATGGATTGTGGCAGAAAAGAATGAACGATCTCATTTTACCACACATAAAAAACAGACTAGATAGATTGTGGCAGAAAAGAATGAACTATCTCAATTGCAGCTGCTATTATTTCATTTTTAAGACAGCTTTATTGAGATAGAGTTCTTATAAAGTTCACTATGTTAGAGCATACAATTCAGTGTTTTTTAGTATATTGACAAAGTTGTTACTGATCACCACTATCTAGTTCCAAAACATTTTCATCACTTTAAAAAGAAACCCTACATCCTGACAGCCACTAATCTATTTCGTTTCTCTGCATTTGCCTGTTCTAGACAGGTCATATAAATGGAACTACAATATAGAGTCTCTTGTGACCATCTTCTTTCATGTTTTTCAAAGTTTAGTCATGTTGTACCATGTATCACTATATCATTAATTATGGCTAATATTGTATAGAAATACAATGTCTTATCCATTCACTGATAGACACTTGTATAATTTCCACTCTTTTAGTTATTATAATAATGATGCTATGAACATTCACATATAAATTTTTGTATGGGCATGTTTTCACCTCTCTTGGATTTATACCTAGAAGTAAAATTACTGGGTCATATGGTAACACTGCTGAACTTTTTGAGAAACTGCCAAATTTTCCACAGCAAATGCAGTTTCACATTCCCATCAGCAGCAGATCAGGGTTTCAATTTCTCCATATCCTTGCTGACACTTGTTTTTCTTTTTTTAATATTTATTTTTGAAGGAGAGAGACAGAGACAGAGCTTGAGCTGGGGAGGGGCAGAGAGAGAAGGAGACATAGAATCCTAAACACGCTCCAGGCTGTGAGCCATCAGCACGGAGCCCGATGTGACACGGGGCTTGAACTCACAAGCAGTGAAATCACGACCTGGGCTGAAGTCAGATGCTTAACTGACTGAGCCACCCAGGCACCTGACACTTGTTATTTTCCATCTTTTTTGTGTGTATGTCGACGGTATCTGATTGTGACCTTCATTTAAATGGCTGCAATATCTTTATTAGAAAAAAAAAATTAACTCATTCTCTGCCACTTGGTATGTAAATGATAAACTGATCAATGCCATCATTCTCAGGAGTATCAAAAGCAGTTCAATTTAACTTGATAGGATTATCATTCCTTGGATATAATAGGATAATATATTCCTGCCCATTGTCATGTGACTTGACTCTACACCCTGTATTTAAGGCTGTGTCCCTGCCTTTGACTCTGGCCTTGACCACGTCACATGCTATAAACCAAAAGAATATGACAAGGCTTGACATTTGCCACAACTGAGCAGAAGCTTACAATTTCCAGTTTCCTCTCAGTCTGTCTGTCTCTCAATCCTATATTTTCATATCCCAGAAACAGGATGCTCCTTGAGCCTGGGTCCCATAATGAAAAGATTCCTGCAAGAAAATCTAGCTGTAGTCAAGAAAAGCTAAACCGGTCACATGGTAATACCTGGTAGATGAAATAAAATTTTCACGTGTATTTTTACGCACAAAGAGGAAAACCATGTCAAAAGCCCACCCTAAACTGCTGAAGGCACTGATAAAATCAATACATGCATCAATAATTTTCACTGTTCATTTCTGTATCATTTGAATATTTTAATAAACGTACTATTTTTGTAATTTTTTCTTCGCTCTTTTTAAAAAAATACCCATGCTAGCCCTCCATTCAACATAGATAAAGTTCTAATAAAATTTACTTTTCAAGAAAAAGCAACAATAAAGCATTTTGTGCATGTGATTACACTGATAGCTCTCACTGAAAATACAAGCTTAAGACTGTTAGAATAAAAATGATCAGTCCCTAGTAATTTCAAAACATTATTTATATAAATAACAGATTCATAACAAATTAATCGCCTTTACCACCATTATTAATGCCAATTTGCTTAGGTTAAACAGATTCTGTGTCATATTTGCCATCCTACATAACACTATCTATCTTCTCTAAAACCTCAACTTGCTCTGAGTTAACCCAATTATCAATTTACTCCTCCATTCTGCCTGGGGCTGAAAGACTGCTCAAGTATATTAAACCAGGCTAATTGCAGACTACTTGAGGGACATTCTGCCTGAGGTGGTTGACATGATTCACTTCATCTATAAACAGTACTATAAACAACATTCTCAGCTATCTTATAACTATAGTCTAGACTATCTTCCCGTGATCCTGTATATGCTGCATTCCCAGAAAAAAAAAACCTCAACTAGGAAACAAAATACTCCTTAAGGCATTCATTTTAGTTTAAAAAAAATTACTAGGGTCACCTGGGTGGCTCAGTTGGGTTAGTGTCTGACTCTTGGTTTTGGCTCTGGTTGTGATCTCACAGTTTGTGAGTTCGAGGCCCAAGTCGAGCTCTGTGCTGACAGTGCAGAGCCTACTTAAGATTCTCTCCCTCTCTGTCCCTCCCCACTCGCATTCACCATGCATGTTTATGTACTTAAAAAAAATTATTAATATGTCCTGGTGAAAAGACTTAAGATGGCAAATAAAAGTAAACACTAAAATTGACAATGGTTGTTTTAAAATCATGACCTATGATTTATTTATGTTTAAAATATATTTGAGAAGTTTTTACTACATTATTTATAGTCAAGGTATAGTTTCAACAGAACTTTAAACAATTACAGTTCAACTCCATGTAGTATTAATTTTTCTTCTCTTCTGATTCTTGTGTCAATTTTAACTTTTTCTTAAATTCCATCTGATCTTGGTAATATTGTTCAAATATTGGTTGATAAATATACATTCCTCCAGCAATTCCAAGGATGCTAGCAAAAAGCAGTTGTGGAAGAGTCAATCTCCCAAACATTTTTCAACAAATGTCATTCACTACTTCTGCCACACAGTGGTTTTGAAAATTATTGTCCACATCCAGGAAAGATCTTCACATCTGTGTAAAAGAAAATGGGAAGCAAAGCAGTAACTTAGCACAATATCCTTTTAAAAGATTCCATGTCACTACCTGGTTCCAGAGTGAACAGTACTTTCATCATAATATGTACGTATTACTTGATTTAACTAAAATAAGAAATATATAGGGAGTATGGCAAATGAGGGTTGGGGATGGTGTGAGACAAAGCTAAATTCCATTACAGCATATTCTCCATAGTTTTAAATGGACAATTGTTAAAATGGCAAAAGTGGGGGAGGGAGACATACTGTTTACACCTTTACATACTACATGAAGCTAAAAGAAACTAAAAGAAATTGCTCCCCAGAAGTTGAAAAGTGACTGTCAATCCAACCTGTAAGTAAAAGACAGAGAATTGTTACTTTTCATTATTATCACCCCCGTCCCTTTTTTTTTTTTTTTTTACTATTTTATTTTTTTGGCAATATGTATGACTAAAAACAATGTTTAAAAAACAGGCTAAAAGATTTTATGAGCTCCCTTTGATGCTTTAGAAAGTACAAGTAAACATCAAACAAAAAATTGGCATCCACTTTTGATAAAAATATAAAGGAGATCTGGCTGGGTTTACTTTTAAAAGCTGAGGAGCTAAAACTCCAGTATTTCTCAGAAAGTTATACTTGAGAACACCATAGTTTCTGGAGAAAACATGTTTATGAAAGAGGAAAGCAGGGTAAAGGATTTTTATGTTTTCTCATAGCAATCCTTCAGCGTCACCTAGACCTGCCCCAGAGGTTACAAAAATCATTAGTGGCAGAATCGGTACTAGAAACTAGGTTGTCGTTAATATCGCTAAAATGGAGAAGAAATCTATATAAATGATAGCTTATCAAGGATGCTATGGTTAATCGCCTGCTGAGTGTAATAGAAACAAAACAAAACAAAACTGCAAGTCAGCTCCTTGGAACATAAACCACACCAAATACGGAGATTCCCCCTTTTGCCGCTAGCTTGCTAAGTGACCCTAACCAAGTCATTTAACCTTTCCGAACCTCATTTTCCACATCTGTACAACAGGTTAAATCATCCGTACGCTGCCCACTTGGTTCAACAGTAATTGTGCGATCGCCCAAACAGTGAAATGTCACACAAACACGTTTACTATTATCATTACCACTGACACATCCCGAACACTCGGCCTCGGCTTCGCTGACCCCGCCTCCCGCTTGCCTCCGCACAAGGGCGCTCCGGCTCCTCTCAGCAGTTTCCGGAAGAGAAACCTGGGCGCAGAGACCTAGAAGCCAAAGCCGGGCAGCAATCTCACGAGAAGGAGAAGCCAAAAGGAAAATGCAGGCGAGCTCACGACAAAGCGTACAGCAGCAAACAAATATGCGGTATTCCGCAGGAAAGACAAACTTCGGCGGCCGGCGTAAAGAATCTGCCTCTTCCCAGCTATCGTTGCGCCCACAAGCGACGGCTGCTGCCGTGGCCAAACTTAGTGAGCGGAAGAGCAACGCGTGTTAATTCAAGATGCCAGGGGATCCTCAGTAAACATCGAAATAGGTGCAGGATGGAGCAAGAGGGTGGCGACGGCCAACTCTTTTTCCGCGGTCTGCAGAACCGCTCCCACGAGAAAATGAAGCTGCGAAAGAGAAAGTCAACTTTGTATCTCAGTCCCCGGAATAGTACCGAGCGCCGCGGAGGTGAGTGATCGGGTGCGGGCGCTGAGCTCCGAGGCAGTGGCGGGAAGCCTAGGACCCTCAGCGAGGGCTCCATCTGCTGGGCAGGTTGCCAAGAAATCGTGCGATCTAGACCGGATTCTCGATCCTTCCCTCTTGCACGGTGCTTTTCTGCATCAGTGAATTCTGCCGCGGCCGTGTGGAGTGAATGGACATGACGTAGCCACCCCCATTTTAGGGGGTACCCAGACCGGGAGTTCCCTAAGGTTTGGTAGCCGCAGAGAGGTTGATTCGTGGATTGGGGGCGGGGGGGGGGGCGTTACAGTCTGACTCCTATCCCATTTATTTTTCCCATCGCCCCCTCTGTCTTTTCTTTGGTACCTTGTGATGGTGTTGACAGGAGAAAAATCACCCCAGCAAGTGGGTTTTGATCTGTCGGAGAGGGTATTTAATATAAAGATGGACTTCTCATTCAATAAATATTTGAGTGCCTTATATATGCCAAGCACGGTATAAGCGCTGGAAAGAATGCCGAGTTTCTCTTCGGGAAAACCGAGACCAAGAAAGGGGAGAATCATTTTGTTAAGTCAAAGAGGAGGATTGTGACGCGGGGAAAGGGAGAGGGAGATGGACAAATAGTTGAACTTTTAGGGATTCAAGATCACCTGTTCATGGGCCAGTTCTGTGTACTGTTTATTCTGCCCCAGCCCACAGAGTAAAAGGGTTTTTTCACAAAGTTTTCGTTCAGCAGATCTATTTCAGTCAGGAGGTTTCTTTAAGTGTTTCTGAAAGGTGAAAGTTGAGATGGGGCATGTATGTTGTGTTGAATGTACCAGTTGTCTGGAAAATACTTGTGTGTTCCTGGAGAAAAAGGGAGAGTGGCAGGAACCTATAAGGAGAGCAAAAGACTCAAAATGGATTAGAGTGCAAACACAAATGCTCAGGAGGCCAGGCAGGCAGGTCTAAATAAGTTAAAGCACCTTATATTTCAGAACCAGCCAGGTGTTGACAGTTGAGCTCTGGGTCAGTTCTTAGTTTTGAAATGCTACAATATAGATTGTTAATATAAAGTCGGATTTTAAAATGTTGGCAACTAAATTGACATTAAAAAAAAAACAACTCTGTATTCAGCCTGCAGACTGACCAGTTGTGGAAAAGAGCAGGGCTTTGGATGCAGCAGACAGACCTGGTTTTGAGTCCTGTTTAGTCATTTACAACCTTTTGACTTTGGACAAGTCTCAATTTCCTAGGTAAAATGGGACCAGTACCTACCCTTTAGCATGATTTGGAGGATTAAATGAGATAGGGCATTATGAAGTAATGAACTGAGCACCTTGCATAAACATCAATAAAAGCTATTTAAAAACATACAGAGGACCGTTTGATATGCCACTGTTTGACTAATATAGAAGAGTTGCTTCTTAGTAATTTGTTAGCTGGTTTCTTTCATTAGCTACCCATAGAGGATATTACACCTCATTAGCCTCAGGCTTTAGTTAACCCAGTCTTTTTTTCAGTATTTCTATCTTACTATTCTCTTTATACTGTTAGTTCCAAAAAGGATGAAAGGTGTTGCAATAACCCAATGGTGAGAGTCTGGCCCTTGTATAACTTTCAGTCCTGCTTTGACAGGACAGGCCAGAGTATAGGGAGGCCAGAGTTCTCTACAGTGACTTAACAAAATCTAAGCAAGGGGCCAACCAGAGCATTAATTATGCAAGTGAAACTTGCCTGACTTTTATGTTACAATCACTTGTTTTGTTTTGTTTTTCAGATCTTCTTGGTGAAAACACTTATCTGGTCTTGTTTACTGTAGCACTACGAATATGTAACTGTTTTTTAGTCCAGACCAGTTTTGTTCCAGATGAATACTGGCAGTCTCTTGAAGTTGCACATCACATGGTTTTCAAATATCCTTTGTAGTTTCTTTTCCATATTAGGAATGTATATTCATCTTAGAAATGGTGTTAACTTCATTTATGTATTCTCAATCAATTTTCCATATATTCTCCAAGTAGTTTTAACTTATCAAAGTATACCATTATTTTACACTAATATTTCTTCTATATCTGTCTTTGATGTTAATATACTTGACTCAGCCTTTAACTAGCATGTATTTCCATAGTGCTCACTACTGTGGAGGATGTAGATGAAGTAAAAAGCACATTTCTATCTTCAAGAAGTTACGAGTTTAACTGGTCAATTCTATTTTTAGTTCAAATAACCAGTATAAAACGCTGTTTTTAAGCTTCTTTGTAAAAAAAAAAAAAAAGTTTTATGCATAGAAATGAAAACAGGTTTTGTTTCAGTGCTATTTAACATTAGTCCTTAATATTACTAATTATGGTTATTTGACCTGGGAATGGACAGAAAGATTGAGGGGTTACACTTATCCGTTAATCTTTGCAAGCATTTACAAGATTCTTCATCTTTTGGGAAAAGATAGTGTTCAGCTGCTGGTAAGTTTATATAAAAGTAATCAAAATAGTTATTAAAAGACCTACTCCATCCTTTTAAAAAGGCTAATAATGTATATTAACTAAATGATAGTAATTAAAAGCAGATTTATTCCATCCTTTAAAAAAATTTTTTTAATGCTTATTTATTTTTGAGAGAGGAAGACATGGCATGAGCAAGGGAGAGGCAGAGAGAGAGGGAGACACAGAATGTGAAGCAGGCTCGAGTCTCTGAGCTGTCAGCACAGAGCCCAATGCAGAGCTTGAACACAACAAACCGTGAGATCATGCTTTGAGCTGAAGTAGGATGCTTAACCGACTGTGCCACCCAGGTGCCCCTATTCTGTCCTTTTTAAAAGGCTAATGTATATTGACGAAATGTTATTGGTATCACAAAATTTGTTTTTAGAAAGATACTGTCAAACTCTGACCATATCTGGTAAGCCCACAATTCCAAGTACTGTGATGTGTAACTCCTCATTACATGCTAAAACACAAAACTAGGCATGAAAGTGTCCTACTTCAAGGAATCCTGTTAAGATATGCAGACTTTCAGAATGACTACATTGTATGTTCGTTATTTGGACTTTAGAAGTATTCTTCCTTCAGGGGCGCCTGGGTGGCTTAGTCGGTTAAGCGTCCGACTTTCGCTTAGGTCATGATCTCGCGGTTCGTGGGTTCAAGCCCCGCGTTGGGCTCTGTGCTGACTGCCAGCTCAGAGCCTGGAGCCTGTTTCAGTCTGTGACTCCCTCTCTCTCTGACCATCCCCTGCTCATGCTGTCTCTCTCTCTCTCTCTCTATCCTAGAAATAAATAAAACAAAACAAAACAAAAGAATAAAAAAAAAGAAAAGTATTCTTCCTTCATGAAAGAATCACATAACAGCAGTGTTGTACCTTGTTGTTTTTTTTTTAACTTGCCAGCATATGACCATGTTATAGGAGCTTATGAAAACTAAACACATAAAAACCTACTCAGGATTTAGTGTTGAAATTATTACCTAGGGAAAATTAATTTGACAGGAATTTAGTGATATACACAGTCATTGTGCTCTGTGTGTAGTAATTAGGCAGCAATAGTAAGCTTGTAATTACATCATCATGAATTTCTGGGGTCGTGTGCCAAGAGAGGGTACAAAAGAACTAATGGTGCCAGAGTGTCTCTAAACTCACTTTCCATTAAGCTGTTGTCAGGTTAGACTCAGAAGTTTGGGCCTTCCCCATTTTCCGTTAGGGAAGTGGCCCAGAATTCCAAAGGTAGTCCAAATCCTGAGGGTTTTTTGGAGCCTGGAAAGAAAGACACATGGAAGGATCACGGGGAAGGAGAATTTAAAGCAGTAGCAGAGTTTCTCCCATTGATACACACAGAAGTTAGGAGCTGTGAATTCTCTTCTCCTGTCAGGGCTTCTAGATTGTGTAGGATAACTATAAAGTCTGGAACCACAGGCATATATACATTAAGATCTTATATCCCAAGAAGTGGTTATATTATCAATGAAGGCGTCTTCAAGATAGAAAACTTCCTATTCCTCAAGGACCAGTCCCCTTTCCTCAATGTGTAACTGACCCACCTGGCCATTTTGTGATTTAAAGTAAGTCTCCTGTAGTCCCCACCCCCACCCTGCTGTGTCCCCCAAAACCTCTGTCCTACCTGTAACTTGACCAAGTTGAGAAACATTAAGATGCTATCAGTAGGTCAAATATACTGTCATAATTGATTATTTTAAATATAGATTACATAATTTTGAAACTAGAAGTGGTCAGAGAAGTGAAGTAAATAGACCAAGGTCACAGCATGTCAAAAGCAGAGTAAGGGGCGCCTAGGTGGTTCAGTCACTTGAGCATCTGACTTCGGCTCAGGTCATGATCTCATGGTTTGTGGGTTCGAGCCCCACATTGTACTCTGTGCTGACACTTAGAGCCTGGATCTTTTTTCAGATTCTGTGTCTCCCTCTCTCTCTGCCCCTGCCCTGCTTGTACTCTCTTTCTCTCTCTCAAAAATAAACATTAAAAAAATTTTTGAGGGGCACCTGGGTGGCTCAGTCAGTTAAAGTGTCCGACTTTGGCTCAGGTCATGATCTCATGGTTCGTAGGTTTGAGCCCCGCGTCGTGCTCTGTGCTGACAGCTAGCTCAGAGCCTGGAGCCTGCTTTGGATTCTGTGTCTCCCTCTCTCTCTGACCCTCCCCTGCTCACGCTGCCTCTCTCTCTCTCTCAGAAATAAATCAATTTAAAAAAATTAAAAAAAAAATAGCTAGTGTAACTAGTTCAGAGTACACTGGAACCATTAATTCTATAAATACTATACTTGTAAATGCACAAGGATTCTTTTAGTTTTAGTGACTTCCTCATATTGTTGGCTTATATTAAGTTTGTAGCCAGATTGGCTTTTCACATGAACTACTTTCAGGTCTGAGAGATAAGAATGAATTATATAGATCTTTATGCAGAGAAATTATGAAGTACAACATACCTTTAAGACTTAGACATTAATTTACAGATTTTTGACAAAGAAAAGGAACATAAATATTAGAAGCCACTGATACCTGAGAGTAAGCCCACTCTATAAAGTTAATAAAGACTGATCCAACAGAAATACAAATTTACATATATTTTAATAAATACATCTTTTGAACAAACTAAGTTTAAATAACTTTTTTTTTACATTTATTTTTGAGAGACAGAGTATGAGCAGGGGAGAGGCAGAGAGAGAAGGAGACACAGAATCTGAAGCAGGCTCCAGGCTCTGAGCAAGAGTTCAGCACAGAGCCCAATGCAGGGCTTAAACCCACGAACCATGAGATCATGACCTGAGCTGAAGTCAGACACTTAACTAACTGAGCCACCCAGGTGCCCCTGAACAAACTAAGTTTAAATTGTGTTCTATCAGTGTATTATTTTGTTAATGATAAATGGTTTTAAAACTCTCAAAGATGTCAATGTGTAGCATTAGAATTACTAGCTGTAATTAAGTTATAATACATTTATTCTTTAGTTTTACTCTTAAATTTACTTTGTTTAAAAGTGTTTATTTACTTTAAGAGAGAGAGAGAGAGAGTGCATGAGCAACGCAGGGCCAAAGAGAGAATCCCAAGCAGGCTCTGGTGGTCACCACAGAGCCTGACCCCAAGCTCAATCTCATGAACCGTGAGATCATGTCCTGAGCTGAAATCAAGAGTTCGACGCTAATTGACTGAGCCATCCAGGCTCCCCTTAAATTACTTTTTAATGTCACTGGATTACTATGTTTCTATAATTGTGGAATACTTCTTCTTTTATGAAAAAAATGTAATTTTATCAGCTGTATTGCAGGATGGGGAAGCACTGTAACTTAGTAGTTAAGAGCACAGGCTTTAGAATCAGGCAAACTGGGGTTTGAATTCTGGTTTCCATACTAACTAGCTGTGCAGCCTTGAGAAAATTATTTAAGCTCTCTGTACCTCAGTTTTCTCACTTACAAAGTAGTACCTATCTCACAGGGATTGTTACGAGGACTGAATGAGCTGATATAAAGTACTTAGTATGATACCTAGTACAAATTACAGTAAGTGCTTCATAAAAATTTAATGAAAACCACCAAATGTCCTTCTAAAATAGAACCTTAACACAATGAAATGTTTTGCTGGCTATCTAAATTAAAAGTAGTAGTGTTGTAATATATACATTACAGAGCAAGAATGAGAATGATAAGACTACCTTGGGCATTTCCCTGAAAAATTTAATGTAATTTTTCTAAAAAAACAAACAAAAAAGGCTGTTTTTTGATAGTTGGATCAATTTGTTGATTTCTTATGATAATTCAAATGTGAACTGGTAGATATTTCTAATATCTTTTTCTTTTTTTCTTTTTTAACTATTAAAGATTTGGATTCCTAGACTTGCCCAAGCACTTCTGTCTGCTATAGCAGACATCAAGCTTTATTCATTAATGAAGCAACTAGAAAATCAGCAAATGGCAAGATGGGTGGTAAGTCCTAAACATTTTAGAAACAATATGTCACTTAACTTCATTCCTACAGGAATGAAATACATAGAAAAATATCAATTCTCAAAATAGCTTCAAAAGATAATTTGTACAACTTTATAGAGGTACTTCCATAATGAAGAATAACAAAATGCAAGTGGTGCATGCCATATATTTCCTTCTCATTGCACCCTGGGCGATGGAAGCCACTGATGCCCTCAAAATCTTTGAGAGACTGAGCCCTAGAAACAGCCTTTGGAAGCACCTTCATTCACTTTCCATAAAATTCAGTAGGAATTGCCTACCTCACAAATCACATCCACTGTTTACAGACTTTGTTCACTACCTCTAGCTACCTGTGACTGAGCCTAAGAAGTACGTTTTCACTGAAGCATTCCTTCACCTCCAGCTAGAATGTTTGAAACAGTTGATTCTGTAAGGGAGTGAATGTGGTGTAGAAAACTGTCTTTTGTCAGACTTTTTATTTCACAGTGGGGAGATTCCTGATGTCACACTCAATCTTGAATTCAACCATTCAGTGGTTTCCTTTGAAACCATATTCTGAAGAGTGACTGGATTCTTTAATATTGTAGTTAACCTCACTTGGCTGTTTCCTAAATTAAATAAACTTCTATGAGCCAGCTTAGAAATCTTGCTGCCTTTTTAATACTATCTACTGGAAAATGTGTTCCAAATTCCAAATGACCAATTAATCAACACATTTTTGGAATATAATTTATTAATTATTTATTAATAAGTATCAATAATTTAGTAATTTTTAATAAGACATATCTGCAGATGGAGTATTTATTTGCCTTAAAAAGACAGATTGGTCTGATTGACTCCTTGCTAATTTGATTTAAGGATAAAGTCAGTCTCTATATACTATACATTGCTGAAGGCTTAACCTAAAATGGCAAAAGCATAATACTTTTGAAATCCTTCCTCCAGAGTAGAAGTACTAGATTCTTCTGGTTTAGGAAAAGTCATTAAATCCACAAACAATTGGAAAACTTTTTTAAAGGCTACATTTTTGAAGAGATAGGATGCTAGTACTGCATGTTTAACATCCTTGCACCAGCTAACAAGCTTCTTGGAAGACATCTGCTGTGTAGACTTGACGGTTTTGTTTGTATGTTCTTCCAAAAACTGGTTTATTATTTTAGTCAATTTCCAAATTAAAGTTTAACGATACATCCTGATAGTCATGTTTTATTCTCTCCTATGCTGTCTTAATTTTTCATAAAAAATGAGGCAACATTCCCAACCAAAGTCAGCAAAAAACCATTAAAATACTTGTCAGTAATACAAGACAATTTCAGGAATACTGACTAGAAGAATCTACTAATGAACTTCAGTCTTCTCTAAATTCTATCATGAAATGGTTTGTTTTATGTCTTTTCTTTGTGGGAAGTTAGATTTCAATCAAATGCAATGCCATAGAAATTTACTTGAAAATATAAACTTAACGTTAACACATATATATGTGGTTAACTTCCATAGACCTGTGTGTAATATAGCTTCTTAAAAACAATGTTTGGGCATGTCTGTTTTCAATATCATTTACCTTTTGATGTGATTTTTGCAGTATTTTGACTTGCTGTTTTCCATAGAAGAAAGTAATACTGAGCTTTCTCCATTTCCCACTCAATATATGTTTGCTTATAATTGTTCTTAGTTTTTTTGCCAGTTATGCTCTTGGTTCACATGGTATTGCTGTACCAGAACTCTTACAAACACCATGGAAACTGTTCTCACTATAATTGCTCTTTTCTACTATCCTTTGGAAGGTTCAAAGTCTATGAACAGGTGAGATATATTACTATTAATAATTATGTGCAAAACTTGAAAAATCTTAAATATCAACATATTGTAATATCTGGTGGACTCCCTGATGTTCAAGTTTATTAAAACCACACATTTTCAGTTGATAGATTTATTATAATAGGAAACAGATATATGAATACTAGGTAATGAAGAGCAGTATAATAAAAGGATTATGTACAAATGTTTAGTCAATGTTTAGAAAAGTCAATAAGGAGATAACCAGAGGACCCCAGGGCTGGTCACAGGAGGAGGTTTCTGTTTCTACTTGGCCCCCAAGGAGAGGAAATTCTTACAGGAATCCATACATAGCTGTAACTTTCAGAGAGGGCCCCAATAGGAGACAGGCACAGCCAGCCTTTAGCCACGGCAAGGAGAAAGTTGGGGGGTTAAATACTCACACTTAATTCTTCTGCCCTCCAATTAGCCAAAGCCAATCAGAAGCCAGAAAGCAAGTGAGCTCATTGATGTAGTCCAGAAAGGTCAGCATCCCAATACACAGAACAAGTGAATAGTAGAGGAAAAAAGATCTGGAAGGGCAAACAAAAAGTATATGGACCCAGGAGATTAGGTCCAATATAGCAGCTTAGGAAGATCCTAAACTCACCTCCTCTCTCAGACACACCAAATCTACAGGACCATATGGATCATTTCCCTCCAAAAAAGATCTGAAAACTAGATGAATTGCTTTCCACAACAAATGGTTAAAGAAGGTAAAAGAAGCAGAGACACAGTCTCACGATACACCCCCCACTGCAGTGTGGCAACACATAATAGAGAGGGATCTCATCAGCTAGGAATTTCTTACAGAAGAGCAAGGGGTTGGTGCTCCACATCAGACACTCCAGCCCCTGGGATCTGCGCCAGAGAAACAAGCACCCAGGACATCTGGCTTGGAAAATCGACAGGGTTGACATCCAGGGTCCCCCAGTGCTATAGGAGATTGAGACTTCCCACTTGGAAGGCTCACGTGTAGGCTTGCTTACCCTTTAGACCCAGTAGAAAAACAGCAGTTTGAGAGGTGACCAATAGTGACCCACAGCAGGAGGGATGTCACAGGTGTGGAGGTCTTCTATGAGGAGAAAGGGGATCAACTCCACATCAGGAACGCCCCCCCCCCACCCCGCTTGGGAATCCACATCAGGAATATGAGTCCCTATAATGTCTGCTTTTATAATTGGTAGAGTTTAACTCCAGAAGATTCCGAGGCCCATAGGAAACCTCGACTCTGCTGTTAAAGGACCTACAGACAGTAACACTTGATCCAAGAACCAGCAAAGAGACAGCAGTCTGAAAATCACCTAACCAGACATAAAATTTATTGACAAATTTTAGGGTGTGTACTGGAGAGGCTGGGCACTTTCCTCAGGAAAAGAAGTGCCAATAGACACTATTTTTCTTGTCCACCTTTAGCCCAGCTAGCCCAACACTGGCAAGTAACAGTTTGATACTTTCCATCTACCTTGCTAGCAAAGCTCATCCCACCATGGCATTCCCCTGCAGACCTCTCCCACCCAACCCACCCATCCTGGCAGGTGCCCCTCCAAAGCAGCTCCTACCCAGGGGCCAGCCTCTGTTGGGAATGGCACCCCTTCACAGTGACTCCAGCCCTGGGATGGTGGTGGGGGGACGGCCCTACTCACCAGCATACCCATACCAGTTGTAGCTGGGCTTCAGAGCCATCTACGCTGAGGCCTAATGCCATCCATCAGCATCTCCACAGCAGCCACAGCCAGACCTCTCGGCCAGATGTGCCAAGGCTAGCCTGCCCACCAGCACATCCACAGCATTTGTCGCCTAATCATAATAGGAGGTCACACAGCCCATACAGAGGATACCCCTGGAATGCCTGGTTCTGGTGACCAGGGAGAATTGTACTCTTAGGCCAATGGGACACTACCTTCAACACAGGACACATAGCTAACCTACCTAAAACCAAGAAACAAACACAGAGAGTCAGATAAAATGATATAGAGCAGTATGTTCTAAATGAAAACAAGACAAAACCTCAGGGGGAAAAAAAAACTAAACTAAATGGAGACAGGCAATCTACCTGATAAAGAATTCAACGTAATAGTCATAAAGATGCTACTCAACTAAGAAGAGTAGATGAACTCAGTGAAAACTTAAGGAGATAGAAAATATAAAAAAGGACCAATCAGTTTTTTACAATACAATACAATAACTGAAATGAAATATACACTAGAGGGAATCAACAGCAGATTAGAGGATGCAGAAGAGCAATCTGGAAGACAGGGTAGTGGGAATCATCCAAACAAAAGAACTAAAGGAAGATGAACTTTTAAAAATGAGGATAGGTTAAGGGACACTAGGACAACATCAAGCAGATAAACATTTGCATTATATGGGTCCCAGAAGAAGAGAGAGAAAGGGGTAGAAACTTTATCTGAAGAGAAAATAGCTGAAAACTTCCCAAACCTGGGGGAGGAATCTGATATCCAGGTCCGGAAAGCACAGAAAGCCACAAAGATGAACCTAAAGAGGTCCAAAACAAGACACATAATAATGAAGATGCCAAAAAGTTAGAGAATGTTAAAAACAGCAAGAGAAAAGCAACTACTTACATACAACAAAACACCCATGCAACTGTTAGCTGACTTTTTACCAGAACTTTGCAAGCCAGAGAGACTGGCATGATATATTCGAAGAGCTGAAATGAAAAAACCTATAACCAAGAATGCTCTACCCACTAAGAATTAAAGGAGAGATAAAAAGTTTTCCAGACTAACAAAAGTTTCAAGTTCATTACCATTATACCAGTGTTATAAGAAATGCAAAAGGAAATCCTTTAAGCAGAAAAGTCCCTAACTAAGAGTAAGAAAATTATGAAAGAAAAATTTCACTGCAAAAGCAAAATACAGTAAAAGTAGATCAATCACTTAAAGCTGGTATAAAAATTAAAAGATAATAATTATTTTTTATTCTATAAAAATAAAAAGACAATATTAGTAAAATCAACCACAGCTATAATAACTAGTTAAGGGATACAAAAATAAAAACATGTAAAATATGACATAAAATACATAATCATGCAGAGGATACTGTACTGTGCTTTTAGAATGTGTTCAAACTTAAGCAACCATCAACTTAAATAAATTTATGTATACATAAAGTGTTATACCTCATGGCATTAAAAATCAATAATAGATACACAAAAAAAGTTGAAAGGAATCCAAACAACACTATGAAAGTCATCAAATCATAAGAGAAGAGGAAAGGAACAGAGAGCTACAAAAACAAACAATAAACAGTTAAGAAAATGACAATAAGTACATATCTGTCAATAATTACATTAAACGTAAAGGAACTAAATGTTCCAACCAAAAGATATAAAGTGACTGGATGGATAAAAAAAAAAAAAAAAAAGACCAATCTATATGCTGCATAGAGGAGACTCAATTCAGACCAAAAGATACATACTGAAAGTGATGAATGCAAATATTCCATGCAAATGAAGGTGAAGAAAAAACTGGGGTGGTAATACTTAGACAAAAATAAACTTTAACACAAAGACTGTAATAAGAGACAAGGACATTACGTAAGGATAAAGGGATCAATCCAACAAGATGATATAACAATTCTAAATGTGAATCCAACACAGCAGCATCTAAATATATAAAGCAAATATTAACAAATCTAAAAGAAGAAATATAGTAGGAGGAAGAGATTTTAATACCCCACTTACAACAATGAATAGATCGTCCAGACAGAAAATAATAAGGAAACAATAGCTTTACTGACATATTAAATCAGATGGGCTTGACACAAATGGAATAGTTCATCTTCAAACACCAGAATACATATTTTTTTGAAGTGCATATGGAATATTCTCCAGAATAGATCACATATTAGGCTAAAAAATAAGTCTTAATAAATTTAAGAAGACTGAAGTCTTACCAAGCATCCTTTCTGCTCACAACAGAATAACACTACAAATCAATGACAATTTTTTAAAAAATGGAAAAAAACATGAGGGCCAAAAACATGCTACTAAACAAGCAGTAGGTCAACAAAGAAATCAAAGAGGGAATAAAAAAATACTGAGACGAATAAAAATGGAAACACAACATTCTAAAATCTTTAGAATGCAACAGAAGCAGTTTTAAGAAGGAAGTTTATAGCAAAACAGGCCTACCTCAAGAAATAAGAAAAATCTCAAACAATCTAAACTTATATTTAAATGAAGTAGAAAAAGAACAAAGAAAACCCAAGGTTAGTAGAAGAAAATAATAAAAATCACAATGAAAATAAATAGACAAAAAATAGAAAAGATCAGTGCAATCTACAGCTGATTCTTTAAAAGGAGGTGCCTGGGTGGCTCAGCTGGTTAAGCATACAACTCTTGATTTCAGCTCAGGTCATGATCTCTTGGTTCGTGAGTTCAAACCCCATATCAGGCTCCATGTTGAGAGTGTGGAACCTGCTTGGAATTCTCTCTCTCCCTGCCCCTGCTGTGTGAGCATGCTCGCTCTCTCTTTTTCAAAACAAATAAACTTAAAACTATTATTAAAAAATGAAACAGGAGAAGTTACAGTTAACACCTCTGAAATATAAAGGATTATAAAAGACTACTACAAAAATTATATGTCAACAAATTGGACAACTTAGAAGAAATGGATAAATTTGGAAACCTATAATCTTTCAAGACTGAATTAGGAAGAAAGAGAAAATCTGAACAGACATCTCTATTAATGAAATTGAATCAGTAATCAAAATAACTCCCAACCAATAAAAGTCCAAGATCAGATGCTTCACAAACAAATTCTACAAAACTTTTAAAGAAAAATCACTAATTATCCTCAAACTGTTCTTAAAAATTGAAGATGAAGGAACACTTCTAAGTTCATTCATTATGAGGCTAGCCTTACCCTGATAACAAAATTAGACAGACGCTAAAAAAATATAAGGAGAAGAATATTACAGGCCAATATTCCTAATGAATATAGATGCAAAAATCTTCACAA